CGGGAGGGGAGATTCAACCACACGATCCTGAAGCGGTTGCAGCCAAGCGCAGAGCGCGTAGTATCTGTGGTCCCGTAAGAGCACCGTCGCTTTTGGAGCGTGTTCGTGCGTAACCTAGAGGGGCTCGCGGCGTCCGGGAGTGTGTTCGACAACGCTACCGTCGCTTGTGATGTGGGTGGCGACCACTATTGAAGCGAAACAAGTAACACAACTTCGGAGTGAAGAGATGACATCGTCCTTGCTTCGTCCTTCAGCCGCAATTTATCAAGCAAGTCCGATGCCCCAGCTCCTTGCCTTGAGGCTTCGTTTTCCAAGGCAGCACACCGAGCTTCGGCCGGAGCTTCGGCCTTCCGAAACTTCTCCAAGGCTCCTGCTGTCACCTCCCTTGTCTGCCCGTCCGTCTGATCTGGGACAGCACCCTTCCTTGCGTCCGCGAACAATCGGAGGGCAACCGCCACTGCCCTGATTCGGCTTGTTGCTTTTCAATTGGTGGTCTTGGGGAGACATGAACGAGAGACGCCCGCCCGCCAAGCTTCGTGTACTTCTGTTCGGCCGCCAAAATAAGCATCTCAGCCATCTCGCCCTCCGGCCATCCGACGGTAGGGTAAGGCTGGCCATGCCACCAGCTTCCCGACAGGCTCTACTTGAGCATATACACGGCAGTTTCTTTGCCGTCGGAGGAGGTTGGTTGTGCTGTACACAGGGTATACCAGTGTGTATGCATATGTATGTATGTAGGTACCGGTGACTAGTCGATGTAGACTAGAGCTGTGTGTACTGTACAAGTAGTATGTATTTTTTTAAATTTGGAGATTTAATAAAAGAGGAAAATTTTGTTTTGCGAACCGGCATCGCTGGGGACCGCTGAAATAGCCTGCGACTGGGTCGTTCTCGGAATGTTTCAGGCCGAAAAATTAGTAGTCTATTCGAACGCACGTCCTGTGCTTCCGAAAACTCTGTAGTTTCAAACATTCGATCATTTAGCGAACACTTGGTCGACAAGTAATTCGATCTTTGCACGGCGAACCTTCCAATTTTGTATGTTTCGTGCGTATGCCGTCTTACTGGCAGACAGCTAGCATACTACATCGATACAGCGCGGAATGAGCCGCGGGGTACGGCTCAGTACCTTGCAGAAATCTGTCTGCGATACCGCTAGTGACGTGTAGCTGGGTGCACCAGGCACACGCGTGGGACGGGCGCCTCGGCACCTGCTGTTTTTGATGACAGACCCCGGGGTGTGTGTGTGGCGTTTCCTCTGTTTTGTCAGTGGGTTTGTACCGCGTGCGTGCGTGCGATTTCCGAATTTCTCGTGCATCCATTACCTCCACAGGTCCAGGGGTTGGGTTTTACGAAATTTGGGCACAAACGCCCATGTAGCACGGCCATCTGTTGTCGGATCACGACGAAACCGGTGTGACGAAAGAGTGCCCGATTTTTCTTCTTCCTCAGAAGGCAATAGATGGCCAATCGGTGCCCTATAGGTCTTTGTTGGGTCGAAAAGGAAGGCTATTAGGCTTCCCGGTAGTCAAACTTGGGGCTCCTGCATCGTCTTGGAACAGGCCGATATTTTGAGCCTTTTTTCCCTCCTGGGATGAAGCAAAAACCGTTCGCGCTTCGCGCTCCGAGGCTCAATATGATGACACTTGTATAAAAATTGCACCCTGGGTTCTTCCTCTATCACCCCACGTTGGAATGCTCGTACTGTACTTTCTTCGTTCTGGGAGCGGATCATTTGATGCGGAAACTCTTCTGTGTACGGACAACGGTGTTGTATGTTATTATGCGGGCAAAGCCCGCGATAGCGCGCGGGACCCTTTTTTTGTACGCAGAAAATGGCCGAACGCTTGGCGACCTTGTCCCCTGATCTACTGTACACATTAGACCCTTCTTTGTGGAAACAGAATCTTGCAAATATATCTTGGCATTTTGACCCAAGATTTGCTCACAATATATCTCCACCAAGATTTGCAGTATCGCGATTTATGGGGGAAATATGTTGAATGGTGAAAAAGCGGCGAGTTGTTCCTCTCTTCTGCTTGAAGTTGATAAAGGCACAACGGCCACTTGGTCCACAGAAAATGCCAAGGTGTGGCGAAAAGTGACCATGACGCAGTTGAAGAAGGAGCGTCCCTCCCCCAGCTGTATTGCTTCAATACTATGGGTGAATACTAGCGATGGGCGCCTGCCTGGGGTGCAAAATAGAAGCCGTTGCCCACGAGCTCCTGTCAAGCAGAGAAACAAAATTGTTCCATTGCTGTCCAACTGACAAGAAAGTGCATCAACCCGAAGCCGATTACACCCGTTCACGTATTTCACTCAAAGCAGCAGGCGTACCGAGGTCAAACCTCCGGCGCTGTCATCTGCACTCACGGATCTGGCTCGGGTGCAAAGGGATTTGGGTGTGGGGGGTGATTCGATGAAGAGATAGAAGCGTCGCACACGACAGAGCTGTGTTGGCAAAACGTTCCTCCTCCTCTATTTTTCTACTTCAAAATAAAGTACTCTTTGAACGGTCCCTCGACAGACTGGTGATGACGCACGTGGAACGAGCCAGGGCAAAGACGCATTTTTTTCGCGCGCCTTGGTCGTTTTCGTTCGCTGTCGGCGCCCGTGGCGCCGACACAGTGACGCCAGGGTGGGTTTGAGACCCTCGCGAGTGTGCCACGTGCAGATTTCATGGCGTTATGGACGATTAGGTTGACTGACCTTCGGTGATCGCGCCGCAACCAGGCAAGATTTGTTTCGCCGCCTCAAGATTTGTCGGAAGGCTCGTTTTCGACAGATCTTGGGTCAAGATTTGTTCGAAAGGGCAGATTTCGGGCCTCGAGAAATCTTGGCCAAGATATATCGGAAGATTCCGCTCCCATAAATCGTGAAACAGGCAGATCTTGGCCAAGATCAAGATTTATCGACAAGATTTTGTCCCCATAAATCGGGTTCTCTTGTTTCCGGAACACATTGTGCGTTGTTCTTGTATCGAATGTAGGTGGCAGTAGTTGTAGACGGGACTGATAATTTATGAAATACATTGAGCGGGAGAAAGCTTGATATTCTTCCACCAAAGGTCGGTGTGTGGCCCGTGTGCTGTTGATATTTTGCCCCTCGATGAAGAGCAGGCAACACCAGAGCAGCGGTGTCGTCGCGGCCATGAAAGGACCACCGTAGAGACATATTTATCATATCTCTCAGAAACAAAGTGAATCCGACGAGGGTACTTGTGGACGGGACTTGACTTGCATCGTGCGAACGATTGATCATGACGCCGTTGGTACACTAAACATTTATTGCCAAAACTACATATCGTCAGCAACAGGTACACGTTGCCAAAGCACCATAACAATCTCATATGGTATCCTGCAGCAGGTGTTCAACCGCGGCATCCATCACGTACGTCCTTCAACTGCATCATTTTCTGGCCATCGACAGATCGATCCGACCGACCTTTCACGGGGTGCCGCCGTCTGCCCGTGGTTATATTCGGCCCTCGCAAGAACGCCCACACTATCAGCGGTGCCATGACTTCCGAAGGTGAGAGGGATTGGGTTGAATTGAGGTTGCCACGGCAGAAAGAGGAGGACGCAGGTGGCAGGTATCCCTGCCGTTTCTGCGATATTCAGTCCGCTACACTCACACCGTATATAGGCATCCGCCTCGACAGATGTTCGAATGTACTGAGCAGAGGCAGGAATGTTTTTCAGTGTAAAGCCCACTGCTACAGTACAAGGATAAGGACGCCGCCAAACAAAGAAAACAAGACGAGGCAACAACTTCCGAACGCCGGTTCTTCACAGCAAGAAGAGAGTCAATTGTCCCAAACACAAGCAGCGCCGAGAAGGCTATGAAATACTCTCCAAAGAGGGATCGATCGGCTTTGTGTCGTTATCCACGTTCCGCCCGTCCGCCCCCTGCCCCGCTGGGAAACCGACAATGATGCACTTCTACAAGGCTGTATGCATGTGTAGCCTTTTCTTTCTCGTCATTGGAGACTTCCGTTGGTCGGGCGGCACGGCGCGGGCGGCAGTATGCATGTATGTCGAAACACCCACAAGGAAGCAAACGAGCTGCCATGCGATTTAGGCGGGGCTCTATTACGGGTTGTGTGATACCCGAGTCTGCGACGAAATGTTAGCAAGGTCGAGGTAGCACGGGGGGGGGGGGGGGGGCGTACTCTTATGTTTTGCATGCCTTAGCGGTTAGACCATTGACCACGCGTCCTCGAGAGGACGGAGCATTGTTCCCACAGGACCGATCACCGATGGCCAATCGTTCCTTCCTACTTTGCCAAAGGTGGCTCAAAATGTTTTCCCTAGTCTGTCGATCCTAACGATGTCCCTTCCCGCCTTTTCAAACCACTTCCTACTCCCCAGTACAGCTACCGTCCTCTCCTCTCTATTCCATGCTTCAAACATCTCCCTGTACGTCCCTTGTATTTTTCCCAGCTCAGGCATGTACACTTCCCTCTCCTCTTCGTACCACGGACATTCCGCGACAACATGAACACGGTCTTCGCATTCGAAGCCGCAATCACATTTGAACTTGTCGTCTTCGTCGTCTACCGTCCTATGTCTTCGTCGACGTTCTCGAAGGCCTATGTCCCCGGTCCTGAATTTGCCCTTAAGCTTTGCCCCTGCATCCATTGGTCCATGTAGGTAATCCTTGAACCCTATTCCTTCTTTCAACATTCTGTACACTTCTAGACCCACCTTATCCTTGGTTTCTTTCCTTAGATTATGTTCTTCTCTCTCGGCACAAGCAACAGATATATTCTCCTTGAACCCCTGTAGACCCTCCGTTTCCAGCGTTTCATCTTCGTCGATGTCTAACCCCTTCCATACGTCCTCTACAACCTTGACCCATTCCGTGGGTTGTCTACCCCTCTTTTTGTTTGCCCACTTCGCCTCCCATACTATTCTCGGCAACCTCTCCTCTCCCATCCCGCACATGCGATACTGCCATGTCAGCTTCCTTGCGTCTCTTCCCGACCGTAGGGATTGGATCCCCAATTCTGCCCTTACGGCTGCATTACTTGTGCGCTTGGAGCATCCTGGGATGATTTTCGCTGCTTTCATCTGCGCCGCCTCGAGTTCTTTCACTACCTTCTTATTTCCTTCCCATACTTCTCCGGCGTACTCTAGCGACGGTACGATTACGCTCTTCCAAACCAATTTGATGCGTGTATCGAGGTGCCGGTTTGCGAGTATTGGGTGTTGCTTCCCTGCTCGTGCTTTGCCCTTTTCCGCTACCTTGGACATGTGTGCCTTCCACGAGCAGTCGTTTGCGATCTCTACTCCGAGGTATGTGTACTGGTCCACTACTGCAATCTCCTCGATCCCCCACTTCCATCTATGTTCTACTGGTTCCTCCCTGACCTCGTTGCACACCATGACGGCACTCTTCTTAACGTTGGCAGACAATCTTCATTTATCAGTTAACTTCTTCGCCGCGTCAATTTGTAGTTGCAGTCCCTCAGGGGTGTCCGACATACCAACAAAATCATCCTCAAACAGCATTCCTGACACCGAAGTTTCCGTGTCCCCTACTTTTACTCCCTTCCGGACTGCCTTTACGACTTCCAACAGATCGTTGATGAACACCTGGAACAATGTTGGGGACAGCGTGCAACTTTGTGGGACCCCCTGCTCAATGTCGAAGAACTTAGACAGTTCTCCGTCTAGCATGACCGCGCTTTTCGTACACTCTGTCATCTTCTTCAGCACTCTCCACATTTCCCCCTTGATCCCGTACTTGGACAATTTTTTCCACAGCCCTTTTCTCCATACGGTATACGGTATCGTATGCCTTTTTCACGTCCAGGAAGGAGCAGTACGTCGGCTTTCCCGCCCTCTTTCTACCTTGGATGATTCTCCCCACCGTGAATGCGTGGTCTACGCACCCCCTCTTCTGTCGGAAACCTGCCTGGCCCTCACTAATGCTACGTTCCTTCTCCAATACACGGGGGGGGGGAGGGGTATATCGGGGCGTTCCTTGAGGAGAAAGACAATGAAAAACCCGTTGGTAGTAGAAGCCAAGGCGTTGAACATGACATACTCCACCAGAGGTGGAGTGGGTACTCCGGAACTTGGTTTAATAGCCTTGACAAATGAATGCCTGTCCTGCCGAGAAAACTGTACAGAGCTTCTAGTTTTTTCGTGTCGTGTAAGTACCAACTCGGAGAGCCTCCCCCCGTCCCTTCCTTCTCCCCTTTTGTCCGACTTCACCCACCTAGGCGCGCAGCAAGAAACTGTCCCAAGGCCGACAACATGTGTAAGAGGGAACAAGTGCCTTGAGGTCCTCAACGTCGCATTGAAGCAGGCTTGCGATGGACATGACAAACGTTGGTACACGTCTACGCTGGAGCTACAGCTTGTGTCGCTGGGGTTATGCGTCGCGTGCAGAGATGTCCCGACCTTGCACTTGCGTGTTGATCGACGAACGCCTCCCAGTCTGTGGTCTCCTCGCAAATCACGCACCACACCCACCAAGCGCAGTCGAGAGGTCTGCACCTCGAGCCGCGTGCCAGCTGTGCAGGCGTTTGGTTTGACGTGGGCACTTCCGATGGACGTTCTGCTGCAAAGAGCTGCCATGGAGCCAAGAACAGGTTCAGAATGTCAGCGGCTAACGGGACCTTCATCTGCGTCGAGGCTACAATGGGCAATTTGGCCTCTAAACCTCAAACGCCTGGAATTTGATTCGGACATGCCAGTGAACACGGTTTCGTGGCCGGCCTCCCTGCAGCAGCTATCGTTTGGTACTGAATTCAACCAGCCCATTGTGGAAGTCGCGTGGCCGGCCTCCCTGCAGCAGCTATCGTTTGGTACTGAATTCAACCAGCCCATTGCCGAAGTCGCGTGGCCGGCCGGCCTGAAGCGTCTGTCGTTTGGAGTGCTCTTCAACCAGCCCATTGCCGAGGTCGTGTGGACAGCCTGTCTGAAGCGTCTGTCGTTTGGTACTGAATTCAACCAGCCCATTGCCGAAGTCACGTGGCCGGCCGGCCTGAAGCGTCTGTCGTTTGGAGTGCAATTCAACCAACCCATCGCCGAAGTCGCGTGGCCGGCCGGCCTGAAGCGTCTGTCGTTTGGAGTGTTCTTCAACCAGCCCATTGCCGAAGTCGGGTGGCCGGCCGGCCTGAAGCGTCTGTCGTTTGGTACTGAATTCAACCAGCCCATTGCCGAAGTCACGTGGCCGGCCGGCCTGAAGCGTCTGTCGTTTGGAGTGCAATTCAACCAGCCCATCGCCGAAGTCGCGTGGCCGGCCGGCCTGAAGCGTCTGTCGTTTGGTACTGAATTCAACGAGCCCATTGCCGAAGTCGCGTGGCCGGCCGGCCTGAAGCGTCTGTCGTTTGGAGTTTACTTCAACCAACCCATCGCCGAAGTCGTGTGGTCGTCCCCCCTGCAAAAGCTATCGTTTGGGCGTTGCTTCAACCAGCCCATTGTGGAAGTCGCGTGGCCGGCCTCCCTGCGAAAGCTATCGTTTGGTACTGAATTCAACCAGCCCATTGTGGGAGTCGTGTGGCCGGCCTCCCTGCAGCAGTTGTCATTCGGGGTGGACTTTGCACAGTCCTTGGCTCAGGTGGTACGGCCGACCTCCATACACAGTGTGACTCAAGCCGAAGTAGGTAGTCTGCTATGACAGCTGTCGAGAAACGCGTCCGGTTGTGTGGGTCTTGGTAGAATAGGGGGCTAGGCTCAGGCACCCGTCTAGAGTAGATTCACATCTGCGAATTTGATATCTACGTAAGACACACCCACTGCTATCAGCGAGGAAGCCTGTGATGTCCATACGCGTCAAGTTGGCGATCCCCTCAAGTGCACGACTTCTTCCTTCATGACTCGACACGCACGCTCGAAAGTGGTATCAATTGCTTGGGAGGCAGCAGTGCAAACATCGTGGAGGACATCGGTTATAGCCGTTGTGTGTGATAGACCAATGTCCTGGTACCGAGCCTCAACGACGGTTATTTGGAATTTCGCCGAGATGGGGGCGTGTGATTAGGGTAGCGCAAGAGCAACCGTTAAGAAAGGTAATGCTAATCACGACACCAACCACATTCTCTGAGTTCCTACGGCTCTCACCTGTCGTGCAAGCCCTCGTTCCTCCCATGGTGACCGGTGGCGTCGATATATGGTCCTAGATGATGTCAAGGCAACACCTCGGCGGTGTCGCCAGTTGGCATACTGAAGACACCGCGCGAAACGCTCCCCATCACCTGCAATGGGCACGAAACTAATTTCACTGCCCCAATCTGTCGCACAAGCCGTGATTTAGCAGAAACCAACACGTGGTTCCCGAGATACGCCCCAAGAACGTGTCAGCACCACATCGGCATTGTCGCCCTACATTCGCCTTAATTACGACACCGCGTGAAATTTTGCACAACATCATTAAATTGAGACGAAACTACCGTAGACGCGCTGTGTTCCCACGGCGCCCAGCTGCCGCGAAAGTCATCGAATGACCCCGACTGACACGTGGTTGCCGACACACATAGTTGCTCTTTTTAAGACGGCTGAACGAGGGCGCAGGGTGGCTCGGCTGTTAGAATCCAAGCAGACGGCCATCTCGATCGCTGCAATCAAACGAATGGAAAACCTGGAGGCGTTGGCCAGCATCTTGGTCAGCACTTCGGCCAGCGCACAGGACCCAGAGGTCAACATGCTTAGTGGAACGGCCCCGACTACCAAGACGTAAGTAAGCGTAACACCTCGGTCGCGGAAGGAGGGTGGGGGGTGGTACGCCAAAACCCTTCAGCGAGCGCGCCGGAGGGTGTCAGCGGCGGAAACGCAGCCATCAGCACAGTCAGCAAGAGCGTGCGGGTCGGAAACTACTTCGGGCGGTGAATAGGTTTCGGAGAAGGAGAATTGTGGGGCAGCGCGGCAGCGCAAGGTGGGTTGACATACATTTGTGTTTCCTCGCCTGTCGCTACTCTGACTACCGCAGAATCTGCTGTGAATGGCACGGACATATAGAGTAAAATGTGTCAGGCGCGTTTCCATGAAGCCCTGAGGTTTCACCAATCGGTATCATTTTCCTTGGATTATCACAATGGTTTCGTACAAATTGCACATACAAATCTCCAACAGCATAAAAATGAGAAGTTTTAGGTTTAGACTAGATTGCAACAATCGGTTCCCTCAGCGACGAGGAACCCACGTCGAAGCCCAAAGTGAACAGATCATTAATCGACGACGCCCCGCATTTTCATACTTCTGCTTCTATCCAACCAACCAGGGAAACACGTGCGGGGGAGTGAGGACTAGGTTTCACACCGGGACTTCGGACATGGGAAGCCCTCCTTATGAATGTTATGGACAAGGAGAATAGAGTGAAGCTTTGTCACGTAGGGTCCCGACAGTGAACCATTATGTCTTGGAGGGGTCGGGACTCGGTTTCACAACGGACGTGGGGCACCGAATACCCTGCCTATGCATGTCATGGGCAAGAATGAAACATGAATTCATGAAGCCCGTATCCGTGGAACTCAATTTCTTCAGCGATTCATATGCATACCATGTTTACTTTAGGCCTACATGTAATCGGGAACTACATGTGCAGACAGCTGGGGGCCGTGGTAACACAGCGAATTTAGTTTCGTGCCCATTGCGGGATAATCGAAGAATCCGGAAAGTCTCGTGCGGTGTCGTGAATATGACACCGCCGACGTGGTGCTTTGACATCATTTTGGGCCATATCTCGGCAACCAACGGTCACGATGAGACGAACGAGGGCTTGGGTGACAGCTGAGAACCGTAGGAACACAGAGAACAATGTGGTTTTCGAAGCATGTTGTGCGGTGTTGTAAATAGAGTACCGTTTCCTAAAAAAGCGTCGGCACTCGAGAAAAATAAGTACATAACTCGGCACACGACAATCCAGTAAGGCTGTAGTTCTTCGACAGCCAGAGATCTTGATCAGGCAGAGTTATTGCGTAACCCTTACAGGTGGCACGGACCAGTGGAAAGAGATGCAAATGCAAAGCTATAGGCAGAAATCACAAGTCCAGCCTCTCCCAGGCGACACTGGACCCTCCGTTCGAAGAGATTCAACGCCTTCCGCCTCGGTTACTACACGTTATTATATTATTAAATACTATTTCGCTCGAGTATAATCGGTTGCGACACCCCGAGATGACGACGGAAACGGCACCTATTAATTCTCCCTAAACATTAGTTCTCCCGAAACGACGGTTAGGCGTAATCACCCACTAAGCACCTCGGCAAAGGCGATCCCGAAGCGCAACATACATACACATACAATAAGCTTGCCGGTCCCTGGAGGGGCAGCATTCGTCTTCAGACGGCTGTTGAAAAGTCCGGGTGAAGATAAACAACAAACGAAACGAAACAACGAATAATGCGCGCATCCGACTGCCACGAAAGTACCGACCCGAAAATCCCCAAGCAAGTACCTCTCTGCGGGCGCTTGTCTGGTCTACCTACCACAATCCTTTTCCTCCCTTTGTCTTGGTCTCCACCATCAGATCAATGGTCAGGCGACACGAACCAGGGCAGTTCGGTTGGTTGCCATGCAACTGTGAGGTCCTCGACGAGACAACGTGTGATGAATTAACTCGCACTACACACCCGACCCAACCTAAAGCTATAAAAAAAACTATTGCTGGAAAAACACTCGAGACTCTTGACGGGCTCGATCACCATCTTCTTCTCGACATAACCTTTACTTCTTTTCTTGTCCGCAGTAAAGCAATGCACCTGTTCGACAACAGGCACATACAGTACGGCGGGGAAAATCCCGACTGCACCTGGAAAACAAAAAGTCCTTGTACAACGCCAGTTAGACTAGGGGCAAAGACACGGCTGTGTACATGCAGGCTGTGCATATAGATAAGTGGACGCTGCATGATGCGGGGGAGGAGCATCACCGCGGAAGAAAGAATGTTCGTTGCAAAATGACTAGTCTAACACCACACGAAACAACCCAACTACACACCGTGTTGTACTGGAAACCGACGCAACGAAAACTTGTCACTATCACTACTTACAGAGAGTGACCTTTTTCGTTCACGCACTCACACCTCCCCAACTCGATCAATACAGTATAACCAGCCCTCATCCATATATTCAACATTTCTTCGTTGTACTGCTGCTGCTGCCGTGCGCCAAATTCGCCCTACTGCCTTGGCTACTCTTGTATAACGTCTCTTATTTCCGGCCTCCGGTCCCTAGCAAAAACAACCAGCACCCCAACCATCCATGCACAGCAGGGTAGACTCGGCTTCTGCACATCGGGCACAGGCCGGCAAAAGTACCCAAGACGTGTCGAAGGCAAGCAGCGTCCATTCGGTTATCGGCTCTTGTCCACACCCGCAAGACTTCCAACAACGCGTGCTACTACTTGAATAGTTTTACAGAGGATATTCCAGGCATATTCCAGAGGGGAAGGATCGCGGGCGGCTAGATTACAGAGCCGACCGGGCCTCCCAAGGAAAAATCGACAAAAAACTAGCGTAGAAAAGCGTAACTTGGTTATTACCACCCTAACGGATGAACACAGCACCGGAATACGAACACCCCACCACATTATGACACCAGCAACCGTTCTTTTTACTGCTGGCTTGTAGGGAAAACGCCTTTAGGTCGCACGCAACAAACTGGCAGTACCGAATTCTACCGCCCTGCACGGTACGTTATCGCACCGTGCATGTCGCGCCATACTGTACGCAGCGGCATTACCAACATATATATTCTTGCGTCGCCCGCTCTGAGATCAGCACGTACTCCGCGACGTGGGAAAGAGCGCGACTCTAAAGACCATGTATACTGTACAACAAATCGTAGCAAAGTACAGTAGTTGCTGCGGCTTGCTGCCAGAGCAGCAGTTGGAGGCAGGAACTCCGTGGTGAAGCAAAGCAGCAAGAATCGTGTGTACTTTAACCTCGGGACTAGTGCCACGATAGGGGGGAGGGGCGCAACATCATCCCGGGGCCTGCCAACGATAAGAAACTCTTGTCCCCAGCCAAAAATAAAACTTATGAAAAATTACGGTGCAGCACGATATGGGCTGTATGGACAGACCATCATCGGGCAAAAAAACTTGAACTCTTGAAATTGTTAAAAACGGTTAAGCAAAAAAATACGGAAAGGTCCCTCTTGCCGAAGAAACCCGAAAACGACGGCGAAAATCTTGAGCCAAAAACGCATGTACGTACTACATGCCCCCTCCTCGGTATGGCTCTCAAAGGAATGGACGAGGGCACACGAACACACGGAACACACGACACACATCTCCTACTTCCCTGATCCCCTCCCTCCTGCCACACCGTCTTTCCCTCATCTATCGCTTAGACAATATGCGGCGTAAAATCTTCTTTACCCCCCCTCCCCTTTGAGAGACGAGAAGAGCCGCTGACGACGAAAATCGAAAACAGTTGCGGCAGGCCGAGCGAGCGAGCAAGCGAGCCTACACGAAAAAACGATTGCAGCACGCATGACAGAACACCAACTCCAACACCACCAACGGGAAATCCATACAATTCGTAAGTCGTGTTGGTGTTGGGCCGAACACACTCTACTGCATCCAAGGCCTCCCGGTGTACCTCCGGGAACCATTCGTGTATTGACAAAAATAGAAAATAGACAAAAATGACGATTGCAGAACAGTCCCTACCCCCGCCATGCGTGACACAAGCTTCCTCGCGGGGGTCTCGCACCACCCACACTTTTGTCACAAAACCGGTGGCGCGAAAAGCTCGAATGCATAGACAACACTACCACAACCACCACCACCAGCACAAATATTGACCCCCGTCCATCTTGCGTCGAGTCTGGGAAGCGGGGAGGGTTGTTGTCCCGTCGCACCTTCCGGCGACGATCAGACCGACCCCCCCAGCTACGAATCGCAACCAACCAGAACCTACACCCACTTACAGCTTAATCGTGCCCCCACCACAGTACATAAACAAACATATCGACGGAACAAGTCTCGGGAAAAATAGTCCAACGTGCTGAATAAACAAAAACAATGCCTAATGTTTTCTTTCCTGTTGTTAACGCTGCAAGCTTCCTCTCCCCCAGACCTTGGCGTTGATGCTGTTGACGCGCTCCGAGACGCGGATGAAGCTGACGGGGTCCCCGGCCAGGCTCCCGTCGTCGTCCTCGAAGTCGAAGTTCAGGTACTGCTTCAGCTCCGCCGAGGTCAGGGGGGTCTCCGCACCGCCGCCCACGGGCGATGACCTAGACCCGATGGCGGACGGGAGCTTCCTTCCGCCCCCGCCCCGCTTGTTCACGTACCGGCCGCCGCCGCCGCCGCCGCCGTTGTCGGACTGGTCCTGGGAGAATGTGGAGCCGGCGTCGTCGCCCGTGTCCCAGTAGGCGCCGTTACCGCCGGTACTCGCGCTCCCGCCGTCGCTGGCTTCGTCCCCGACCGACGCCTCGTCGCGACCGCCCTCGGGGGGGCAGCGGGAGTCGAACGAGCTGGTGCCGGAAGCCCTGGCGCGGACGAAGGCCCGGAAGTCGTCGATGTTGCTCCCGCCGTCGGCGTTGCTGAAGCGCCGCTCGTTGAGGTGGTTCTCGTCCCCGAACATGGCCTCCACGCGGGCCGCCGCAGCCTCCCTCTCCGCCGCCTTCGCCCGCTCCTGCGCGGCCAGCACGAGGTCCGGCGGGGCCCCGGCGGCAAAGTCGCTGCCGCCGCCGCCGCCGCCTACGCCAAGGCTGTGTGAGCTGTCCCCGCCGCTGCGGGAGGCGTGCTCGATCCACCACCTGGGCATCGCCGAGCTCGCCGGGAGGTCGAGCGGCCAGCCCCCTCGCGCGTTCTGCCCGACCCAGTTCGTGCCGAGGGTTCTCGAGTCACCCACGATCGGTTTCTGTCCGTCGGGTCCCTCAGTGGCGGCGGGGAAGTTCCCCAAGCCCTGGAGCATCTTGAGGTCGATCTGCCCGCTCGAGTAGGACCGGGAGCGCTCAGACCGAAGGCGCCGCAGCTCCGTCGGGCCCCCCTTGCCCCCGCCGCCGCTCGTCGCGCTGCTGTTGCTCTGCAGGCTCAAGAAGCTGACGCCCCCGTTCAGAGCCTCGCTGGATTTCCTCCGGAACATCTTCCCTCGGCCCCTGTTCCCGACGGGCGCGGGGGTCTGTTGGTCGGTCGGGGTGACGCCTCCTCCGGAAGACGAAACCCTGCTCATGGTCCGCCGCGAGCGAGACCCCGAGAAGCCGGTCGACCCCGTGCTGTTTCGCCAGCTGGCCAGGACGCGGGCCTGGTCGCTCCGCCTCCGACTCCGACTGGTCTCGGACGCCCCGCTCTCGAAGCTCGTGCTCGCGAAGCTGGAGGGCGACTGCTCAATGGTCGGCGCGCCGAAGCGTCGTATGTGCCCGTCGATGGTCGGCGCCCCCGGCGCCAGGACCGGGGCGCGGGGAGGGGCGCGGGCGCGGCTGATCGCGGACGGGTGCTTGTTCGCGTCGGCCGCAGCTGCCGCAGCTTCCGCCTCCGCGGATGCCGCTGCCGCTGCTGCGGCTGCTGCCACCCTCGACGCGGTCACGGCCGTCTCCACCGTGCGGGGTGCAGAAGGGTGGTCACCTTGACGGCGGTCACCGGCGGAAAAGGACGACAGGCCGTCGTCGCCGTCGCCGTGTAGTTGGCGGCCGCTGCCGCTGCTCCCGCTCCACTTGCGGCCCTCCTGGCTCCCGGCCTCCGAGCTCGCGGCCATCGGCACGGGGATGCCGCCGTTACCGGTGTTGGAGTAGAACCGGCCGCCGGCTGCCGTGAGGTGCGCGTCGATCGACGACCTCATCGACGCGCTGCCGGACCCGCCAAAGGTGTCGAACACCCGGGATGTACCGGCGCCGCCAGACCCCCCGCGCTCGCCTCTGGAGCTGCTACTACGGCTGAAGCCGGGACCGGTCCCCGACGTTCTCGGCGACTTGGACAGCAAGTAGCGCTGGAACTGGCCAGGGCGGCCCTGCTGCTGCTGCTGCTGCTGCTGCTGCTGCTGCTTTCTTCCGCCCCTGGTCGCGCGAGGCGGCACCGCCGCTGCCGCCGCCGTTTCCGACGGCACACGGTCTTCGCCGGAGCCGTCCTCGAACATGGGGTTCACGACGCAGATGGAAGAATCCGACGGCTGCCGGTCCAGCTTCATGCCGGCTGACGACGCGCCGGCACCGCCGGCGCCGCTGCTGCTGTCGCTCCTGCTGTACCTCACGAGCTCCTGCAGGGACGGGAGCCGCCTCGTTACCTGACCCCTGCCGCTGTCGGGAACAGCGCTGCTCTCCGACCGAACAGCCGCGGCAACGAAAACATCTCGGCCGGGGACACTGGCGGAATCCGGGCCCCCACCGCAATCGCCGTCGCCGTCGCCGCTCCTGCTGACCGAGTCAGGCCCGGCGTGTCGCAGTGGAGGCGCCTTCTGGCGCCCTCTGGTGCTACTACTACCAAGGTCTCCGTCGTGGTGGTCGCCGCCCACGCTAGGGCCGACTACAGACGGAAACGCTGACCGGGAGTCGCGACGGGGGATGATGGCGGCGGCGGCGGCCGCGCTGCTGCCCTGCTCGGCGCACGAGAGCCTCCACCCCCCGCACAGGCAGACGGCCAGGGCCAACACGAGGGAGATGAAGATGCCGGCGGAGACGACCACCCACGGGGACCCCGTGTCTGCAGCCCCGATCTGGGAATAACATAATATAGGTTGGGGGGGGGGGTGGATAGACACATCCCGTGAGAGGAGCCGATGTGTTGCTCGCGCGCCAAAATTGACATGCACAGCCCCGAATATCAAACCACCGCAAGTTCAACCGGTTCCGCCCACCCAAAGGTATTTTCTTTGGGCAATACACGCAAACACGCACGAAGAGCGTTCATCATGACTCATCACCCAAACCAGACACGGCGCCGGCAACACACCCGACCCAAAGAGCGCTCTTGGCTTGCTTTACCTTTTGGGCCAGCCCGGTCAGGTTCGCCAGCAAGATGGCAAAGCCCCCCTGGTGACAGCACGCACAACAACGCGGGGGAAGTTTGGGAAATCACCCAGAGAATACAGGGTAACAAATTATATTGAGGAGTTAGGGTGCGCCCGCGAGGGGGGGGGGGGGGCGGCGGGGGGGCGCATGGCATTCAGAGAGTTCACGCAAGCACGCAGAGGAACGTTCCATAAAAAAATACTACGGGCGAGGGTGACCAACCAACGAACGGCAAACGTCAAATGTGGGGGAAGGTTGCGGAAACACGTGCCAACATCGAGTGAAGAGGACGTGCGGTGCTACCGTTTGTTGCGAAGTATAGCACCCCTCATGTCCAAAGCTCCATCACTCCACACGTCGACGAGGAATTCACAATCGAAGGATACTTTTTCGGAAAGCTCTGAACGAGGCAGTCTCAACGCCGTTATTTTCGGCACCGAGACTGTTCTTGGTGTAGACCAATCCAGCTTCGGAAACTCGGTTCGTCCAGGGGGTGGGGAGTACCCCATGCAACCGACGGCACGCCACATGGGACTATCAATGGCCGAGCAGGGAGAGGGACTGCACCTCGAGGAGCCATGGCAGCGGTCACATCAACACAAAAAAGAAGCACATTGCGCATACGCCAAACTTCATAGAGCAGTGACAATATTCCTGAAAGCGTACCGGTTGAGATCTTGCCTACTAGGCTAGGCATTGTGCCACGGATCAATACCAATTCATCCCAGTCTGTTTGCCACCGAGTCGAATGCATACACACGTTAACGTTCACGCCAACGAAAAGAACGAAGCCCTCCCCGTGTTCAGCCACAGCAAGAGCAACATCGACACTACCGCTGTACACGATACACGTGACACGTCATGTTTCTCCCTCCTCAACAGAGCCGCTACGCAATAGGATTGGTACTACAGCAGTAATGGGCCCTGTATAGTGACGGTCGAATATTTCCAGGTGCCCGGTAGTTTGTGTTGTTTTCGCTCGCACACATACACTGAAATACCAAGTCGATCTGTACTTTGATTAGGGTCGGTGCCCGGTATCGTGCCGGTAAAATCTCTAGACACATACCGGCACTACAGAGGGCCCACTGCTGTAGATGGACGGATGGACGGCACACGCGAAACCGCAAAAAAAAAGGAAACACAGCTTAAACAAATAAAAAACATCACCGCTAGCAACCTTACCCCGCGGTAAACCCAGCCGATCCAAGGGTCCCTGTGCGGCCGGACCACCTCGCCAACCACTAAGGACACGCCCGCTAGCGCACACGCCACCGCAACGCGCATGAAACCCTCCCCGGGGGGCACCGCGGTCAGGAACCCGGTGAGCAGCAAACGCCTCCCAATCTCCCAGGCCGCGAACCCCTGGCGGCCTGCCTTGTAGGGGGACCAGACAGGAATGGTGCTGCGCCATCTCCTGTTATTCCTCTTGGAAGACGTCGTCTGTGGGGTGGGGGGGTCCGGCGAACGGGGCCCGGGGGAGGGAGGGGGGTACTCGTGTTTTGCATGCCTTAGCGGTTAGACCATTGGCCACGCGTCCTCGAGGGGAGGGGGGGCGGGGGGGGTACTCGTGTTTTGCATGCCTTGCGGGTACACCATTGACCACGCGTCCACGAGGGGGGGAGGGGGCGTACTAATGTTTTGTATGCCTTAGCGGCTAGACATTGACCACGCGTCCACGAGGGGGGGCGGCGTCGGATGGTGAAAGGACAACGTGAGGGTTGGGGTGGTGAGCGGTGGCGGCCAAAGCCACTACCAAGATAGCTTCCTACGCGAGAACGAGTCTTAGCATGTACGGTGGCGACAGATCGTCGGGGACAGAGGGGATTGGATGGGGCTACAGCAGTTAGGCCGCTGTGATGCGGATGCCCAATATAGTGCGGGTGAAATTGGCTGGCGCAGATGTAATGAACAAGCGTATACTTGATAGTGGGGGTGCCCGCTATGGTGCCAGCCACAGCGGTTGGCACTACGGCGGGCCCCGTACCGCAGTGAGGGCCATGGTGTTGGGACCGTGAAAACGGGGGAACAGGCCGGTAGTAGGATAGTAGAGGGCGCACCGGTGCCGCCGCTACCCTAATTTTCAGTTCCTTCCCACCACGCAGCCTAAGCACCCCCCTTCTTCTCGTCACTCTCAACACTGAGAACAAGGCGCTGCCTGCTGCTGTACCAGCACCTACCTCCCAAGAAGAATCCGAGTCGGGGGACATGGACTTGCGGACGGCCAGAACCCCTCTCCCCGACGCCCTCCACGCCTTGCTCTTCGACAGCCACACGCAGCACCCCCCGCTGCCGCCGCCAGTCCGGGGGGAAGCCGCCGCCGCCGCCGCCGCCGCCGCCGCGACGCTGGCGTCCACGTGTCCCGAATCCCCTCCCCCACTCCTCCGGCCTGCCCGGGCGATAGCCGACGCCGCCGAGGTGATGTTGACGCCGTTACCGTTACCCGCGCGCTCGCCGCCGTCCCCGCCCGAGAGAGTCGGCGATGACGTCATCGCCGCTAGGAAGGAAGCATCTTCTTCGACGGACCCCGCCCCTGATGCTCCTCGTCCGCGGGGCGGGAAGCCTCCCCCCCCCCCACCGCCGCCGCCGCTGGCTGCGGGGCCCCCTTGCAGGAGAGCCCCTCCTCTCAGCCTCCGGACCGCTACGGTGGTGTCGTTGGTATCGTCATCATCGTCATCATCGTCATCATCGTCCGGTGCAGCGGCGGCGGAGGCGGAGGGAGGCGCCACGTCGCGTTGATCTTCTTCGCCGGACTTGGCCCAATACACGATGGTCGCCAGCGCCAAGGGCAAGCCGAGCCCGTACAGACCCAGACAGGTGGCGGCGATCATCTTGAGGGGTAGGCGGCGCGCAATAGGGCGGGGGGGGCGGCGGCGGGGGGGGGGGGGGGGGGTAGGGGAAAATTTTTTGCCCAAAATTTTCCAACACTTGAAAAGCGGGGACCAACCGGCCCAAAAAAAAAAAACCCTTCCCCTTCAACCCTTTTAAGGCCCTTTTTTTTCCCCCCCCTTTGGCTTGGGAAACCCCCCTGGGAAAAAAAAAGAGGTTCCCCCACCCCTTCTATTCAACCCCTTTGAATCCCCGGGAAGGGGCCCCCCTTTGAAACCGGAAACCCCCCCTGAAAAAAACAAAAA